ACTAGAGACTTTTGGTCCATGAAGACTAGAGATAGATCTATCTTTGGGTCTACGAGTACTAGAGGCTAGCAAGGTCATTCCAACTTTTGACCCATAGTAACTAGAGATAGATCTATCTTTGGGTCTACGAGTACTAGAGGCTAGCAAGGTCATTCCAACTTTTGACCCATAGTAACTAGAGATAGATCTTATTTGGAGGTTTGATCCAAGGAAATTAGAGATTCTTTTATTTTAACTTTTAGTCGATAGACTGAAGACAGATCTAATCTTACCTTTGATCCATGTAAGTTAAAGATAGATTGATTATTATATTTAGTTCATGGAGACTGAAGACAGATCTAATCTTACCTTTGATCCATGTAAGTTAAAGATAGATTGATTATTATCTTTAGTTCATGGAGACTGAAGACAGGTCTAATCTTACCTTTGATCCATGTAAGTTAAAGATAGATTGATTATTATCTTTAGTTCATGGAGACTGAAGACAGGTCTAATCTTACCTTTGATCCATGTAAGTTAAAGATAGATTGATTATTATCTTTGGAATATTAAAGGCAGATCTATTTTCATCTTTAGTTCATGGAGACTGAAGACAGGTCTATGTTTACTTTTAATCCATGGAGATTGGAGATAAACCTGTTTTAACTTTTAGTTCATGTACTCATACCTTTTGATCCATGGAGATTGGCGATAAACCTGTTCTAACTTTTAATTAATCTACTGTACCTTTTGATCCATAGAGGTTGGAGATAAACCTGTTCTAACTTTTAATTAATCTACTGTACCTTTTTATCCATGGAGATTGGAGATAAACCTGTTCTAACTTTTAGTTCATATACTCTTACCTTTTGATCCATGGAGATTGGAGATAAACCTGTTCTAACTTTTAAATAATCTACTGTACCTTTTGATCCATGGAGATTGGAGATAAACCTGTTCTAACTTTTAGTTCATGTACTCTTACCTTTTGATCCATAGAGATTGGAGATAAACCTGTTCTAACTTTTAGTTCATGTACTCTTACCTTTTGATCCACGGAGATTGGAAATAAACCTGTTCTAACTTTTAGTTCATGTACTCTTACCTTTTGACCCATGGAGACTGGAGATAAACCTGTTCTAACTTTTAGTTCATGTACTCTTACCTTTTGATCCATAGAGATTGGAGATAAACCTGTTCTAACTTTTAGTTCATGTACTCTTACCTTTTCGTCCATAAAAAAATCTATTCTTACTTTTCGTAGCTAGTGACATTCACCTTTGGTCCATGGAGACTAGAGACAGGTCAAGTTTATGCTTGCTTTTAAACATAGAGTCCTTGTGTGGCATGTCCAAAAGCGACGGTGGACCAAACGGCGTACATACTGCAAATAAAGCTAATGGAGGGTTTTCTACCTTTTGGTTCTGACCATGAAGGACTTTGACCCGACCTCTTATGTCCAGTCTCTGGAAGAAAAAAATAACAAAATATGACTTATGGTGTTTTATACAAATACCTGTATGACCATGGTCACAAACCTAGTCTTTTGTCTCGATTAGGCGTGCAAAAATTATTTTAACTTTACTGTCACAGACACCAAAATTATATTACAAAAACTACTGGGTGTTCATTAAACTTATGAATGATGTCAACAAAACAAGGATTCTTCTAAACTGTATAAAGAATAGTTTGTTTTACAAATTCATTAATTTAATCATGTATAATCAACCAAAGATATGAATCATTGTGTGATAAAGTACAAATAATAATGAAATAATTAGATATCAATGAATTATTATTTTTAAACAAAATCCCTATAACCCGAGCGCTTTCGAAAGGTTGACCTTTCTTCTTCATGGGCTAACTGGGAATGGTGGTGTAATCGAATGAGTGAAATATAAAAAAGAGTTGAGTGACGTCATGAAGGTCATCTGGTCTTGAAAATGATGTCTCATTTCCGGTACAATGCGGCTGGCGACGACAGCGTTATGTAAAAAGGTGTTAGGGATATTTTGCTTTAGAAATTGTTGGAAAATAAAACTATACTTAGGTGTTTAAGTAAAATGATCGGCCATAAATTATGAAACTAAATAACATCAACAATTAACACAAAACGTCTTACCATGCTCAAACTTTATAAGAATTTCTCTACAAACAGGGTTTATTTTAAGGAAATTTTAGAACTGCACAAATCTTTGAGGCAGGTGCCATGACCCTGTGTTTGAGATTCTCTGAGTCTGAGAAGCATTTGTTTTTAGGTTATATGCTGGATACAACTTGGCATTATTTGCAAATCTTGAATTTATGAAAGTTTTACTGTTTTAGCCATCTTTTACCATGTAGTTTTTGACATAAAATGTAAATTAAAGTACAATTCAGCATAGTTTTGCATTTACGAGTGTTTTAAGTCTTTTAACCATCCTTTACCATGTAAGCTCATGTAGTTTTGTAGTATTTGACA